AAGGATAACACTCAAAACTTGTTTTTCATCAACGAAAGGAAAAACGAAAATGAGAGACAGAATTCAAAAGCAGACCTCATCTCTTTTTTGTACCGACAAAAGGCCGAGTCGCTGTGTACATGAATTATCATCTTCAAATGAAGATTATCAATTAACACAGTTTATCTTCTGAAAGTTATGATAACACTTAAAAGTAGCAGGAAATCGCTTTTCCCTCATCAAACGAACCATTTCCTGATGTGAAAGGTTAAAAAGTATGTTTATCATTTACAGTCACTATCTTATCTGAAAAGAACTGAAAGATATGTATTGCATTAGAAGAAAATGGGGCTCATAAGAACTTAATGCAAAGGAACAAAAGGAATGACGAAAAAAAACTGTTAAAACTCTTAATCCTGTTGTCTAGCAAGAACAATGGAAATAGCATCATTTATAGGTAGTTACTGAAAGAATCAACTGGCTAAAAGAGAGTTGCTTTCATTCTCCAATCACGTTAAATAAACAAAATAAAATTATCAATTATCCAAAACATTTGTCAAACAAATATGTAATCAGATGCCTATATCTTTATCCAAATGAATCTTAATAATTTCCACCTAGTTAACACATCAAGAATATGTGAATAAGTGAACAGCACCAGCATTTTGGTGGTGGAATAATCTTCTGGACACTCTTGCAAAATTTTGATACCAAAGATCGATCTGCATTTTTTGAATGGGAATCGGAGGCTTCATTTCCAAACCAATTCATATAATTTGGACAGAAAGAGGTTAAAACATATGTTTTGCAGCAAATTATGAATATCATTTAACTGTTATGCAAAAGAAGTCTTGTGAAGCGTACTTGAGATTTATTTTTTTCTCGAAAGGAATAGTTGATCTAAGAGTTGATGATTACTTGGATCACTTTTGACAGAAGTCTTGTGATGCTGATGAAGGCAATAATGTGGCGAGGCGAAGGAGATGATGAGACAAATGCTTATGCCTCTCCTACACATACAACTAATATAACACT